TTTTGTTTTATTTTATAATAAATTCCAAATATTTATTAATATTTATTTTAACTAACTATTTGTTATTTTAATAAAATTTATTAAAATAATAATTTTTTTCTAATTATCTTCTATTCTATGATGTTTAAACACCTTGAACATATTTATCATTATATTTATCTAACAATAAGTTTTTATTCAGTTTACAAGGATTTTAGAAAAGAAATTTTTTAATATGCTGAATCTGTTCTCCTAAAAACTTATTATTATTAGATCAAATTGCATTATAAGGAATAATGTAAGCCTTAAGAATTGCACGAAAACTTTTAAGATTCTTTCTATACGTAATATTAAAAGACTTAAGATCTATAATAGTATAATGTATAGTTGGTTTGGGATTTTGATCATTTAATCTTGTAGTAACTCCCCAATCTACCTCTACAATTTTCTTTTCATATGCATCAAGTTGCTAATACATGATAAGATAAGAAGACCCTGATTTTTCTAGATTACTTTTTTTAAAGACATATTCAGGTGTTAATTTAGATGTTAAATCTATTTTAAAATTAGAATCAGTAATTTTTAGATTATAATTCTTAATTTAAATAGTCCAAAATATAAATTGATCCTACTGATTTTCATTTTTTATATAAAGAGATATCAAAAAGTCAGCACCTTGCTGATTTTATTTAAGATTAAATGCTATACCAGTTTGATAACCTTTTATTTAATCATTATAAACTGGAATAGTACTAATAGTAACAAATCTTATAAAGAAGACACTGGCATTTTTAAGATAATTGTATTCTGCATTATTTTCACGTAATATGATGTTATTAGTTAATAATTCATCTAAAAAGGTTGTAAGTTTAATATCTCCAATAAAAAAGCTAATTTTTTTGCATATTTGTTTCTTTTTTGAAACTTTTGATGGGTCAATATGAATTAGCTTTTCAGCTATTTCATCACGTTTTTCAGATTTTACAATTTTTTGTCTAAGTGATTATATAATACAATTTAATATGTTATTATTCAAAAGTTCATAAGCAGCTTCAGTGATTATTGGTTCTGGTGGATAACAGGCTAAAACTTTTATTTTATCTTGAGAGATTATAAGATAAGTGCCAAGATGACTAGCAATAAGATTTGAGAAAAAGTGAACAAATGAGGAAATATCTATAGAATATAAAGAAGCAAGAATAGCTAAACTTATGAGATTTTTTGTTTCTTCATCACTATCATTAAAGTCATTACTTGCTCCTTGTAACTTTAATTTTACAAGGATTATAACATTTTCTTATGCCTTAATTTCACTTTCATTAATTTCAGAATCTTTAAGATATACATTTTTAAGTGCCTTTCAATATGATCTTCTTCCAGAAAATAATTTATCATAGTAACTACCTGAGGATTCAGTCAGAAAATTATAGGTAGTAATATAGACAAAAGGTATGAATATTTTATGATCAATTGTTTCTTTTATAATTGAAATTTGAAATTTGTGAAATAGTATTTAATATTACTGAAAATAAGTCTTTTGCCTGTCATGTATTTCTTTAAAGTGCTCATCTCCAATATTAAAATAAAAATATAGATTAATTATCATTAACATATTGTAAGAGTGTCCTTCCCTTATCAACATAAAGCAAGATCTTGATGTCAGATTAAATATCAAATTTTTTTTTCAAATAGCCTACATCATCATTATTAATATCTTTCAATCCTTGATTTTTGGTAATTTCACAAGAATTTGCAGCTTCAATTGTAGGTCCCTAAATAGAATCACCATTATCTTCAAGATGACATTTCAAAATTCACTTGGATTATATTTAGTATTTATCAAATAAATAACCATTATTAAAAAATTATTAAACTATTTTATTGGATCCTTAACATTTCAAAAAAATTGATAAATTTCTTTACACAAGCTGATAGATAGGGAAAACAATTCAGGTCAATACTTAAATTTAAGTATAAGGTATAGACCTGTCTTGCATATTCTTTAATGAGTCTTGATTTACCATAACCTAAGGATTGTACAATGAAAATATAAGGCATGTAACTATTTTTGTCTTTAGAACTGTTGTGACATAATATAATATAATTATAAAAATTTCAAACATAATTTGAATCATCTTTAAATTTATAATTGAATGCAAAAGATGCATATTCAAAATTAGATTCATCTTTATCATAGATAGCTAATTTTGACATTCTATTCATGACATCTAATAATAAAAAATCATAGTTAAAAAACATTGTTATAAATAATCTAATTTTGATCATATATAATACTTACCATCAATTACAATCTCTAATGCATTTTTATTTATATTATACAATTCAGAAATAGGAGTTTCTGAATTTAAATCTTTGTTCTCTCCGTGATAAAATGTAATATTTTTTGATATATCTAACTAAAATTTGATAAACCCTTTCAGTTTTTTCACATTAAGTATCATTACTCCTCTATATTTTAACAATTGTTGACTCAAAGTAACAGTTTGATCTTTATAACAAATCCATATTTTGTTAAATGCTTAAGCTATATTAAAGTTAACAGAATGTAAATAGAGAATATCAACTTAAAACATTAAGAACAATAAATTTTCTCTTATAAATCAACATGCAATTTAATGTTACTAATCTTCAATGCTTTCAATAATAATAGGGTTATCTTTTATTATTCTATAATTATCTCTTAGCAAAATGTAGTTATTTCCATAATTATTAAATAAGGTTTCATTTAACTCTTTATAGTCTGCAACAGTAGGAAGTTTTATTCTAAGAGTAACATTTCTATTCAGATTATATCAATTTATAATTTTCATTTCAATATCTGAAATACTGGATTCTTCAGAAGAAAGACGTATTTGTATTGAATTATTATCTTAGTATTTATACCACAAATTATTTTTCAGTTTCTTAGATCTTATCTTCAAAAAGATAAAATGAAATGATATTATCATATTTTCTGCTTATTTTATTGACAATCAGTGATCTGTCTATTTACATCATGCAGTAAAAAAGTTTATGTAATTTTAATTCATACACTTTACCTAATTTATCTAATTGTATAAGATTTACAATTACTAAATTATTTTTGATTATCTAAAGTAAAATATAATAGTAAATAAAACAACATATTTAAAGATATTTAATTCCTATATTTTTTTTTAATTGTTTACTGTCTGGTTTTATTATCATCCCTTATATATATTTCTTATCAGATCTGAATTATTAGATTTGAGATCATGTATTTAGCACAGTCTAATCTGTGAATTTATTTCTATTATTATATTTAAAATATTTGCTACGAGACCTACTCCAATATAACACTATCTTTTAAAATTGAACAGCATAAATTATATTATCACAGAAGCTATTTATTACATGTGATTATAATAATATTATGGATAATATACAACCATAAGAGGTTGAAATAATTTTAAAGTTCTTTGCTTGTCAGACTTTAAAAATTTATTTGTAAAAAGAAAATATTATAGCCTTACGTAAAAATCAAATAGAAAATATCCAATTTCAAAAGAATTATTTATAGCCAAATTCTATCACAGTAATTAAAAATTAATCCTATGTATAATTATACCAGAATTTATGTCTAAGACATAAAAGTTTTTCAGATAAATTATTCTGGTTACATAGAAATTATTTTAAAAATCAAATGAAAAATATTCAGTTTCAAAAGAAAAAAATTTATTGTAAAAAGGAAATCTTGTTTATATTTATAATCAAATGGGAATTTTGTATTCTATTTATTCCCTTTACAATATTAAAAATTAATTCTATATATGATTATATTAGAATTTATGCTTAAGGTGTAAAATAGGACATCAAGTTTTTTTTAAAAATTTACTAGAATTTTTTTTAAAATCAAAATAAAAAATATCCAGTTTCAAAAATTAAACCAATCCTATTCGATTAAAATCTCCTACTCCTATACCTAAATCTCAGTTACTAATCCTGTCCTAATAATTCATATCCAAGAAAAAGATTGAAGAAAAGAGAAATCAAAAGTAGATATTTCAGCTCTTGAGACTTATATCCTTAGTTTACAATGTGAAACAAACAAAATTAAATCTATATCACCTGACCCTATCATCATTAACAAATTTAAAGTCTCTTTTTGTATTAAAAAAATCTTTTTCATATTCTACACTTGAAAAAAGAATTAAGTAAATAGTACTCAATAATTTTAATATAAGAGTTTTGCAATAGAAAGGGAAATATTCATTAAATTAGCAAAATTTTGTTATTTTATAATTTATCATAAACTATTGCTTTATATTATTCTATTTTTCAAAAATATCATAATCAATAATTGATATATAATATTTTTATCAAAAATATTTAATTCATTCTCTTTATAGTTGACTAATAGTTTTTTATTATCAGGCTAATTTAGAGATGTTAAATAGTTTATTCCAAACTGGTTTAAAACTGGTTTATGCTCAAACTACTATACTTAGTTTCAAACTGGCTATGGTACATTTCACTTATAAATCACAAAAATCTGAAATTTTAGATGCAAATTCATATGATATTCACGTGATTTAAATATCTTAATTCTGACCAAATTCTGTAATGTCAGCCAAAAAGTTATAATTTTATTTTTTATAATTCATTTTAATTATGCTATTACATAATCAGAAATTTAATGATGAGACCTATATTTCTTAGCCACATATTTAGCCAATTTATCTGTAATTCTATTCCTATATAAGTCTATATATATAATGCCATACCTTTCAAGTGAACTTTCTTATTATAATTACACTAACAAAATCTAAACCTTTAGGAACAACATGCTGCAAATCTAGCTATAAGTAATCACAATTTTCTCAGATGTATTTTTTTGCCGCATCCCAATATCGTTCAATAAAATTTAACTCGCAGTAAAATTTGAGATAAAAAATAACTTTATGACCTGCTTCTAAAATTACTTGTATTATATATTTTATCTTTACATAATTTATAATCAACACTTAGACCATCTCTTTACAAGTCACGTTCAATTAATATTTGCTTCATTTCTTTGGATTTGTCATTATTATTTATCATTGATTGATATTTATTATTTGATCCAAATAATGTATCTCTCATTTTAGGCTGCTTCCTTCCAGGTTTTAGGTTCATTCTACTAGATATAAGAGTGTCAGGTTTAAATGCCGTATGGTTCAAGCTATTGTCAAATGCAAATAGCCTAACATAATTAGGAAAGAGAGTCTCAAAAATCAGGATAGCTTTAGTTTATTAAATGTTCATTTATTCAATACTCATTTTAGTTTTTATCTGGTTGAAAATAAATGCGTGCTTCTTCAGGTACAGAAGCATTTTCTTGAATTTATTGATTATTTAGCTTAGGCTGGCCATATTCTTCTAATAAAAATTCACTGACCATAATTAAACGTCTGTTACCTTTTTTACATAATGGCAGTTCTCCCAACTTTATCTATATGCCTCATTTTCTATTATTGGAATAAAATATACACTCATTGTGTGTCACAAGAATTACCTCCTTATCATTAGTTCTAAAACTGGCAAAATACATTCTATGTTCTTACCTTCATATACTGCCATATATTTTTTATAACTAAACATTTCTTTCAAAAATGATTTTTGATATTCAACAATATTAAAACGCTCATGCTTATCGTAGAATATTTCTTTTTAATTTTATTTGTTAATTTTTATATCATATTCATAATTCAAATAATTAATGAAAATTTTTACCTTGTTTTTG